ATATCAGCACAGGCTCAGCAGGAGATGCTGGTGGAACTCTTATGCCCGAAGTCCGCACTATCTACTCCATTTCTGTGACAAGCGACTCCCTCTGCTTGCTTGTCTGACAAGCAGGATCATGCTGAGGCTTTCGCTTTAGAAAGATAAATATCCAGAGGTAAAGTTGCTCTGAAGGGAAACCAATCTTCAAATCACAGGGGAGGTGGGAAAAACACAAGTAGCTCCCGGTGGGCCCAGCATGTTCAAACCAGCACGGGGTCTGCCAGGGGCCCGCCAAGGGAAGCTGAGCTTTGAGTCTGCTGCTCAGCTGGCTCCATACCCCTCCAAGCCACTGGAGGCCGCTCATGGCCTCGAGAGGTCACCATGCGTTATGGACACCGACTCCTGGGCTCTATCCCTGACCCCAGGAGTTGGCACCAGAGTGACTAGGAGTCTGAGGGGTGCTGAGTTTGGAAGATGAGGTCACCCAGGAGCTTCCCACCAAAAGGGAGACCTTGGACTTGGGACAGGCACTGTAATGGTATTCACTCTGGGAAGGGTATTTGCCCTGGGAAGCAGGGATCTGCCACATGGAATTAGCAGGTGAGCGTGAAAAAATCCTGACATCGCAGACTGTTCAGGGGGAGCGTGTGGGCATCAGTTTTTAAAAATTCTCCAGGTGGCCATAATGGGCAGCTGGAACCGAGAGCCCCTGACTTAAACTGAGTTTTTGCCCAGTGCCCAGTGGAGAATACAAGGAGCTCTCTTTTCCTATGAAGTAGTTGTATATACAGATGTGGATAATTAAGCCAGAATGACATCCAGCTGTAGCTTTGACTACTGCATTTATTATACATAGGTGACAAGTGCTTGGATATAAGCGGCGAAGACTTTCAGTCAAAATTATTCTTAAAAAAGTAAGTTGCTTGACGTTAGAACAAAGCCTCTCCCAGCTCAGAGGTGGGGATGGGGAGTGCTCTCTATTATTTTGTAGTCCACGTACTGCTTGGGAAAATGCCGCTCACCTGAAAGACCTCCCCTGGGGCTCATCATGGAGCTGATGGGGGATCACCCGGGTGTTAGAAAGCAAAGGAGAGGAAAATGTTAGTCTGCTCTCAGAGATAGGGCTCACAGCGCAAGCACGCACTCAGGAGGGGAAGCTGGGATCGTCCCCATCTTCTGTGGACGGGGGAGCAGTGAGGCCGGGCAGGTGCCTGTTAGGTTCCCAGGGAGGAAATTCTGCAAAGGCAGAGGGAGGAGACGGCCCTTATGTCCATCTTGTTCTCCACATCTCCTGACCAGGAAGCACCCAGGCCCTCTCAGCAGGGGATCACCTGGTTGAGTCACCTGCCGGGCTTTGGGAGCGCCAGGAAGGGTTTCCATTTCTTCCACAGTATAATGAATGTGTGTGTAGCTGCTGGGGCAAGAGCTTAGTCTTGTGGGTCTGTCAAAACAAACGCAGCCAGGCGTGGTGGCACATGCTTGTAATGCCAGCACTTGGGAGGCTGTCTCAAAAAAACAAAAAACAAAACACCCAACTACAAAATTGACTATAGCGTAAGTCCCCGACTTGGAAAGGAGTTCCATTCTGAGAGAACATCCCTAAATCAGATTCCTTCAGAATCCAGCAAAGTGAGTCTTACAGAGGACACCTGCAAAAGATTGCCACTGGGACCAAACACAGGTATTGAGCACGACCTTGCAAACACGTCTCCTCTGAAAGCTCTCAGTCTCATTCACTGGCTCCAGGGCGGAGGGAAAGGCTGGCACTCGTGATATCTCCATCACATGCAGGTGCTGGCTCAGGTGCTGGGCTCCCCCGTGGGATTCCAAGATTCCACTGCCAATTCTCAGCAATCCTCAGAGGCTCACACTGGCCACTGAGCTAGGCAGAGGCCAGGTCTTGCCCAAGGTTAGAGCTGGTGCATGGGGGGACAGACAGGCTCAGCTATCCCATCCCAAAGCCTGACTTCCATCTCCCTGTATGGATTATAGGTTGTGCTGGGGACAGCGCTTGGATGGGAGTTCAGAGATCAAAACACCAGGTCACTGACTGCCCTCCTCCGCCCCTGACTTGTTAGCTTTCCTAGCACAGGTCACTTGCCTTTAATTTTCTCGTCTATAAAAAAGAATTGCTCCCTGAGCTCATGGAAGGGCATCTGCACACCTTTCACCAGGGACAAGTGTCTGGTCTCCGTGTTCTCCAGTGCCCGCACGAGGCAGGCCCAGGCCAGGCGGGGGTGAGGGTCCCGCGGGGCTGGTGCCCCTGTTGGGGACTTTACTCATGTGGATCAGATTTTGCCATCTTCTAACTGGCTACCTGGGGGAAGGGGGGCTGTTCCCACAGCTAAGAGCTAACGGCTCTGCTTCACTCGGGGGAACTTTTGCAAATATAGGACCTCCATGCATCTTGTCTACCCGGGAGCCGAGGATGCCTGCAAGTGTCAGGCGCGAAGACAGATGGGTTGCAAAGTGCTGCGTATAGAAACCATCCCATTTTAGTTAATGAAGCTGTGGGTGGGGAAACATAAAAAGCTGGAAAACCAACCATTTAAAAAAACTGAGTATGTCTTTACATACAGTTTCTGGGACTCCTTTTCCATGTTTTCTATAGCAAGGGTTAGGCATGCCATTAAAAGTAAAAGTGGAGGACTCTGCCTATGACCCTTTGGTGTAAGTGGCAGTGGACCACCTTCCATCTGCCCTGCATTTTCATTTGAGGTGGTGCCCAGCCTGTCCTTGACCTAAAACCCATGCATAACGCATCCTCCTGAGCAGAGGTTTGCTGAGAAAGCTATGGGTGGAGAGCACGGGGTGGTGGTAGGAGATGGATCCGCCAAGATGCTGCAGCCTTCTTACAAGCTGTGTGACCCCAGGTGAGGTACTTACTCTAGAAGCCTCCATCTCTTTGAAGCATGAGGATAACAAACCCTTCCTTGTAGAACTTTCCCTGTGTGGACACAGCATGGATTCAGTGTCTAGCAGGCGGGTCTAGGAAACTGTGGGCCTCAACAACTATGGTGCTGCTATTATCAACAACAGCAAAGGCACAGCCAAGACTGAAGAGAGTTGGCCAGGGAGGAGCA